CCAAGCCCCCCGCCCGGTTCTCCCGACCCGACCCCCAGGCCACGCCCCTAGTACGATTCTCGCCCGGGCCGGCTATCCCCCCAGGCCACGCCCCCGGCCCGGCTCTCCCCTAGGCCCCTATGCCTCCAGCCCAGCTACCTCCACCATCCTCCCAGCCATTCCCGACCCCTACTCCCAGCCACCGTCAGGATAGTGCCCCCGCCCCACGCCCCCGGCCCTGCTACACTAACCCCCGCCTCAGCTCCTCTTCTTCTCAGCTACCCGCCTCCCAGACCAGCTCCCTTCTGTCCACCCCCAGCGACTCCTGCATACCACCCCAGCCCCTAGTCCGGCCCCCATAAACCCGGGTCTCCCTCCCATCCCATCAAACCCCCAGCCTCGCCCACGGCGGGAAGAGCGGCCGCGTTGCCTGGGCAACCGCCCCCCACTGCCCACTCGCCCACCTGGGCCTGGACGCAGAGTTCACTCCAGGCCAAGGCGCTGTGGCTGCGCTTTTCCGAGCACAGGAAACCCTAGGTGAGGATTTTTTAAGCTACCGGCGTCCCCAGGGCAAGTCTTACGTGGACTGTTTCGGCAAATGCACTCAAAGAACTCTCACCCTTCCTATGTGGCTCAAAGCCTGATCATTAATTGACGTGAAAACCGCAGAGCCAAGCGAACCCCTCTGCGTTGGGATCTGGACCCCAAATATTCCATGATTGTTTCCTGATATGCAACTAATGGAATTCATAAAATAAACATTCTTTTAAAAACTCTCGTTTTTTAGATAATTCGAGTGGTTATGATGAGCCAGCACTATTATTATAAACATGTATTGCTTTAATAACCAAAGAATAATCACTATTTTAAAATTAAAGAACATGTAAAATTATTAAATTACCCATTGAAAAATCAAAATTAATTTTATATATGCTATTTTCAATAGTGAAAAAATTATTCTGTATGATACTCAGATGGTGGACACATGTCATTATGCTTTTGTCAAAACCCACAGAATGTACAACACCAAGAGAGAACCCTCAGGTCAACTGTGGACTCCAGTTAATAATAATGTATCAACATTAGCTCATCAATTGTAACAAATGTACCACACTGATGTAAGATGTCAATAATAGGAGAAACTGGGGGGGGGGGTTCCGGCAGAGTTGAGGACATAGGTGGGAACTCTCCACTCAATTCTTCTGTAAACCTGAAATTGCTCTAAAATACAGTCTGTTAATTAAAGCACATACACCAAAATATTAATGGTTATTATCTCTGGGTAATGGAAATATGGGCAAATTTTTATTTTATTGTTTGAGTCTTTATTGAAATTCCCCAAATTTTTGACAATAAGCGTGTATTTTTAAAGTAGAAAAAGCATGATAAAAATAAACTATTAAAATTTCAGACATAGCATGAGAAGCTAATATCAAATATTCTCTTTTATTTCTACATTATATAACTTTAACAAAATCTGCATAAAGCTCTTATAAATGTTAAAAATGAAATCTATTTTAGTATTGTTACAAAAAGAATATCAAGGGCTAAATTGAGAGTTTTTTAAATTATCTCTAGAATTAGCACAAATCTGAGGAGAAAATTTTGATTTTTCTTTTTGAAAAATCTGTGTCTCAGAGGATCGTTTCTCCCTGCTTGGAAACCATTACTAACATTTACATGCAACACTTTTTCTAGTGAAGGTTGCCAAGAATACTATTCCGAGTTCTTGGGGAAAATAGGCCTGGCCCTCAGACAGATGGATTTCTGTAATTGTAAAGCCTCGGCCTCGGCGTGTCTGCTTCCCTGATACCTGTGACCCTGGACAAGCTCTGTACCTTTTTGAGTTTCAGCTTCTTCTTTAGGGAAAAAGGAAACCTCCCTCTCTGGATTGGTTGGAAAACACAAAACTTTAATAATAAGACTTCTGGTACCTTAGCACATAGAGGTGCTTAATAATTATTAGTTCCTCCTTTAAAAAAATACATTTTTCAGGGTTTAGTGGGAATCTTACACTCCTGAGATAAAAGACATCTCTGGTTTTAGACTATTAACTTGTTGGAGCAAGGCAGGATGGTTCAGTAGAAAACTCACTGATCTGTCATGGAGAGACCGGGCACTCCAAACCCAGCACCATCGCTAGCTGTATGCATCAAGTGGATAAATCACCCAAGTTCTCTGGAACTCACTTTTCTAATCTGTTAAATGAGAGATTTGGACCAGCCCTCTCTAAGTTTCCTTCAGCTTCCATCATTCCACGGGGAATTTTGGTGTGGCTTCTGAGGAAAAAGGCCTAAATCTCCTATAGTGACCTCTCTCTCTCTGCCCACAGGACCAGTCATCACTCATGCCCTGCAAACAAAGCCGACATCAGCATTCTAGCTTCTCCACAAATGGAAACCTCTGAAGCTTTCTTGAAACGTTTTTCCTTTCAGTGATTTGCTGGTACCCAGCTCTGACTAGCAGCTTAAACTCTGACAATAGCAAATCCAAAGCTTTCGCCAAAGACTCATTGTAACATCACTGGCACTTTCTGCAGGATAGTGTCCAGGGATAGAAACTACCATCTCTTACCAAATCTAAGGTGTGCTTTTTTTTCACATAATAACATCTCAGAAATTATAGTGTGTCTTTCTGTTAATATTTATTGAGCACTTAATATGCTATGTTCTTTACATTCATTATCTCCTTAAAGCCTCAAAGCAGCCCTTGAGGTACTATTATCATTCTTGTTTTATAGATGGGGAAAACAAAGTTCAGAGAAGTTGCATGAATTGCCTAAGGTCACACAGCTAGCAAATGATGGAACCAGGATTTCATTTCACGCTCCTGCTTTTAAACACTACGAAGAAAGCAGTAGTGAGAGTTCCTCCAAGGTTCTGAAGAAGCATTGCTCCTTTAGTCTGCTGAAAGTCCCTACTCCTTTGTGGTTTCTCAGGAGAAGGGGCAAGGGAGGAAAGTGTTATGGACTGAATGTTTGTGTCCCCCCCCAATGCATATGTTGAACCCCCAAGCCCCAATGAGATGGTTTTAGGAGGTGGGACCTTTAGAAGGTAAGTAGGTTTAGATGAAGTCATGAGGGTGGTGTCCCATGTTGGGATTAGTGCCCTCATAAGAAGAGGAAGAGCCGCTGGAGTGTTCTCTCTCTCTCTCATGAGAGGACACAGCAAGAAGGTGGCCATCTGCAAGGCAGGAAGTGGGCCCTCACCAGACACTGAGTCTGCTGGTGCCTTCATCTTGGACTTCCCAGCCTCCAGAACTGTGGGAAATGAGTTGCTGTTGTTTTTTTTGTGTGTGGGTGAGGATGATCAGCCCTGAGCTAACATCCGATGCCAATCCTCCTCTTTTTGCTGAGGAAGATTGGCCCCGGGCTAACATCCGCGCCCATCTTCCTCTACTTTATATGGGATGCTGCCGCAGCATGGCTTGACAAAAGCTTGTCAGTGCACGCCTGGGATCCCAACCCCCGGCCGCGGCAGCGGAGTGCGCACACTTAACCACTACGCCACCGGGCCGGCCCCTACGTTGCTGTTGTTGAAGGCACTGAGTCTGTGGTATTTTGTCATGGCAGCCTGAGCTGACTTATATAGAAGAGAAACTCCTTTCTTCTCAGTTTAGATTTTTTTCTTTGAGGAGCTTCCACAAAGTAACACTTCTGGCCTCTGGCCCCACCCTCTACAGCTGAAGAAGGAGTTACCTGACTGGTGGAAGGAATCCACTGGTCCACCTACCTTGATAGAATGGACTTAATTTATTAGTAATTTAATAGTAATTTATTAAAGCACTGAGGATTCACTCTTTTCTAACCTCTCCACCCAGACTACTGCAAGGAGCAGTCTGGGGTCCACGTCTCTGCCTCAGAGCCAGACTGTCACCTGGATGGGGTGACTGAAGGGCCACACCTGGCTGGGCGAGCAGAATATTAGCAAGAATTTTTCACACAGACCTGAAGTCACATTCTCCAATTGACTTTATTAATAATGTTACAGACATTTTTATCTTCATCTGTCAGTTTCCTGCGTCTTGTTTCTTAACTGGTTGTGAAGCTGGGAGGTGGAGAAAATGGGGACTGGCTGGCCCACGGCTGTCCCTGAAGCGGAAGGTAAGACCTGAGGAGGACGAGCCTCTTCCACGCCAGCCCTGTGGCTTCCAGAAAATTGCTTAACCTCCCTATGGCTTTCTCTACCTATGACATATTGTGGTGAAGATTAAGTGTGATAACGTATGTAAAGTTGCTCCGTGCCTGGCAGGCGGTAAAATGCTCAGTAAATAGTGGCTGTCCTTATTGATTAGAATGGATAAGACGAGTTTTCTCTCTTTTATTCTACAGTTTATTAGAGCAGACATCTCTCTAATTTAAGCTTTCTAGGATGAAAGAATAATGTTTGGTACTTGTCAAATTATTTTGACACAGACGTATCTATTTGGGGGGCGGGAGGACAGAGAGAGTCCAGGTAATTTGGGCAGAGAGAAAAAAGCATTTCCCTTGCTCTTTGCCCTGGGGGGCCTCAAGGCCGA